AAAAAAAAAAAAGAAGAAAGAGTAAAAGGACAAGGCAAGATAGACACTAGCAACAGAATTTTATAAGCTAGTAAACAGACATGGAATTAGCTATGTCTAAATAACTGAATTCTAAGTTGCACTGATACGGAATCAAAGTGAAATCAATTTATATTGTGGATCCCCAGAAAGATTCCATTAATAGCATATCAGAGACATCTGAAAATGGCGATGAGAAGCGAACTGAAAGAGAACTGTTTGAAAATCTGTTTAGGAGCAGGTATTTCCTCTCTTTGCTGGATGACCTTCTTGAACCTCAGAATACTAGAAGTTTTTATTTGGGAATAAGGAAGTGGGATATTAGACTGAGGAGATATGAGACACAGTTGAGGTATGCACATTAAAAGGAAGTTATGTGATCACAATTCAGCCAGCCTAAGTCTTCAAGCCCAGGAAGTAGGGAGTAGGGAGGAAAAGTAGCAAAATCCAGATATACTGATATTAGCAATTCCCCTGATACAGTGTCTTGCCCAATAGCCTTATCAGTATTCACAAAACTTTTAGATTTTTGTGTTGCAGTTTCAAATCTTGATTATACAGTCAAGGGTGGAAATCTCTGACATGAAAGAAAACAAAATAGGCAAGGTAAGCAAACACAATATCTTAAATGCAGAAATGCATATGGAAACAAGACTAGAATGCTATATATAAGGAAAAAAGGGATTATGTTGAGATTCAAAACATAAAAGCCAATATGATAATAACTAAAAAGTTTAGAACAACAAAATTATGAAAGTTTAAAGTAGACTAAAAATGTAAAGATGAGAAATATATTATAGAATCAGTCCAGAAGGTCCACTGTCTAATAAGGATAAATGAAGGATGAACTAATGAAAGTTGTTCCAGAAATAGTAGTAACAACAAAAAATTCTTTTCTTTTTTGTTTTTTAAGAATTTAACCTTTCGGAACTAGGTTTGTGGCTTAGTGGTAGAGCGTTCTTCTAGCATGTGCCAGGCCCTGGGTTCAATCCTCAGCACCACATAAAAATAAATAAAATAAAGGTATTATGTCCAACTACAACTAAAAAATAAATATTAAAAAAAAGAGAATTCAACCTTTTGAAAATTTATTTGATTTTATGTGGTGCTGAGGATGGAATCCAGGGCCACACCCATGTTAGGCAAGTGCTCTGCCACTGAGCTACAACACCAACTCCACAAAAATTCTTTTAAGAAAACTTCCTGAACTGTCATGGTGCTGTTTGCCTGTAATCCCAGTTACACAGGAGACTGAGCCAGAATTGCAAGTTCATAGCCAGGTTAGGCAATTTAGCAAGAAGTATTGCAAAATAAAAAGGGATAGAGATGTAATTAGGTGGTAGAGCATTCCTGGAATTAAATTATGTAAACGCCCAGATTGAAAGAACAAATAGACTAGGAATGTAGCTCAGTGTAAGATCACTTGCTTAGCAAGGCCCTGGGTTGAATCCCTAGTAACACTGATAACAACAACAACTACCTAAATTAAGTAGTATTAAAGAAGTCTTTCATTTTTGTTTTTTAATTTTTTGAGACTTTTTTGAAAATTCTGATTTGTTACATATGACAGCAGAATGCATTACCATTCATATTACACATATAGAGCACAATTTTTGATCTCTGGTTGTACACAAAGTAGACTCACACCATTTGTGTCTTCATACATGTACTTAGGGTAATGGTGTCCATCTCATCCCACAGTCTTTCCTACCCCATACCCCCTCCCTCACCCTCCTTCCTCTTTGCTGTTTCTAGAGTTCATCTAATCCTCCGAAGTCTTTCATTTAAAAGAAAGAGCCAATA